CTCGCATACCTCCAACATTTCTCTGATGAAAATAGGGATGTCCTATTCAATAATAATAAATTGTGGTGGTGGTGGTTTTATTTATACCCCACCTGTCTGACTGGGTTGCATCAGTCACTGGGTGGCTTCTAACATATATAAAGACATAATGTCAGGGGTTCAGGGAGAGAGGCACAGGGTAGGCAGGAGATGGAGAGCGATGGGGAGGAATTCCAAGCCAGCGAGGAAGAGGATGACAATGACTCAAGAGATTCCATGAGTCTTTCCAGCGAATCAGAGGATTCCCAGAAGGGGGCGCCGGTGGTGAAGGCCAGGGAAGCCCCAGGGGGGAAGTGTCAGGAGCAGGGTGCCAGCGGAGGATCCCAAAGTGGCAGCTGGGCGTCAGGACCAGCCTCCCCACCAGAGTGCAGCGAAGGGGGTGGAGTTTCCAGTGTGTCAGAGGAAGCAGCTCCAGCAGCAGAGAAAGGAGGGGGTCAGAGCAAGCCGCCCTCCCGGAAGGGGAGGAGCAGTGAAGGGAGTAGTGTAACTGTCAAAAGGAAAGTTAGAGGTTTGGCGCGCGCGCCTAGTTCAAATGTAGAGGCGCGCGGAAGTGCAGGGAGCCTGGAGGAGGGGCCAGGTCCCAAAGCCCGCAGGAGGGGGAAGAGCAGTCTGGGATTCAGCGTCAGAGGAATCCAGGAGGGGCGAAACCCCAGTGGGCAGAAGGACCCTGCGGAAAAGGAAGGAGAGAAAGAGGTGGAGCAGCGCAAGTCTCTTAAATTGGTGCAGGGGAGGAACTGACTCAGAGGGGGACTTCGGCGGTCTAGCGTAAGAGACGTAAGGCTGCGCGCCTAGGATGTCAAGCAAACCATGAACTGCAATAAACGCTTTTGTATATAAGAAGACATAGGCGTTGGTCTTTTGTGAGCTAAGACTTGAGGCAGCCTTGACACATAATAAAATATTAAACATTAAAAAAAACCTCCCTATACAGGGCTGTCTTCAGACGACTTCTAAAGGTTGTATAGTTACTTCTCTCCTTGGCTCAGGGGTCATATAACTCCATTCCCTCCAACATTTATCTGGCAAAAATAGGGACATCCTAAGGAAAAGTAGGACATTCGAGGATCAGATTAAGAAAATGGGAAGGCTGTAAATCCGGGACTGTCCCTGGAAAATAGGGGCACTTGGAGGGCTAGTTAACTCGGCTGGAGAACTGTGTTGCAATTTTTTTTAAAGTTTGCATTGTTTCGGTTTGCATATGTCTTTGGAAGGGTGAATTAAATAATTCACCTTTATATCTGAACTGAAGCAAATTTCTCTGTGTCCCTGTCACCTGCTCCTCTCATGACCCTGATCACAGCCAGATTTTTATACAGGCCCAGGGTCTTTACAGCGTAGCTGTATACACGCCTCTACAGAAACAAACACGATTCACTTCCATGTGACCTACTCCTCGAATTCTGATTACTATTACAGCCTTTGTAATGCTGTACAGTTGTACCTTGGATCTCGAATGCCTTGGCTCTCGAACAAATCAGATCCCAAATGATCGAACCCCGAAAGTGATTGTTCCGGTTTCTGGACTTTTTTTGGAAGCCGAACGTCCGACACGGCTTCCACGGCTTCCGATTGGCTGCAGGAACTTCCTGCAGCTAATCAGAAGTTGCGCTTTAGTTTCCGAACATTTTGGAAGTTGAACGGTCTTCCGGAATGGATTCCATTCGACTTCCAAGGTACGACTGTATTTAGGATGTGGCTTTAATTCAGGGATGGAAAGCCTGTGGCCCTCCAGGTAGAATCCAATTCCCATCAGCCTCAACCGGCATGGACAATGGTCAGGGATGATAGTTAACCGTAGTCCGGTAACATCTGAAGATTCCAAATCCCTTCTAAAAATCTGATTTTCATTTTGCAAACCGCCCCAGGAATTTGTGTCAAAAGGGCAGAGTAGAAACGAAGACACAGGCAGGGAAACATCAGTTCTCGTTTTGTGGGAGGTTTTGCTATCGGTGAACTTAAAATATTAAGTAAGCACAGTTATTTTGCTGTGAGGATTTGCGGTCTACATCTGCGAAAGGCAGGCGTTTTCTGTCCTTAAGGAGATAAAGAAAGCTGTAGCAAAGGTGTATTTATAGCTCAGACTGTCCTCCAGGAAGTGAAAGAGAAGGAAAGACACTTCCCTGCTGTCAGTTTCAGATGACATAACTTCAAAGCTTAAAGTTTCAGCTGTAATTCCCCTATTTAAGCCATATGCCTTACATGTAACTGCAACTGACACACAGCTGTTCAAATGCTTGCTTTACCAAATAAGAGATTTTTCTGATACAGTGGTACCTCAGGTTAAGAACTTAATTCGTTCTGGAGGTCTGTTCTTAACCTGAAACTGTTCCTAATCTGAAGTACCACTTTAGCTAATGAGGCCTCCTGCTGCTGCTGCGCCACCGGAGCCCGATTTCTGTTCTTATCCTGAAGCAAAGTTCTTAACCCGAGGTACTATTTCTGGGTTAGCGGAGTCTGTAACCTGAAGTGTCTGTAACCTGAGGTACCACTGTAAAAACTTTGAGCTAACTCCTCCCACCCTCCACCTGAAAAACAACCCTGTTACTTAAAAGGAGTGTGTGTTTGGGGGAAATCATCACTTTTTCTTTCTGATTTTTTCTAAACAACTTTAAACTATGGAATTAGATGCTCAATGAGTTTCCAAATCCATATCATTGCAATACAATCTTATTAGGAGTTGTAGTAAATGTTATACCACTGAGGAAGAGATCAAAACAGCCTGCTTTATTGTTTGGGGACATCTTAAAGTCGTCTGTACAATTGGTCATGTGGAAGAAAACCCAAGGATGTTTTATGGAGAAGAAAACGGGATTTATTGTTGCTAAGTAAGAGCAGAAACAACAAGCTCTTCCAATTGCAGATCCCAGAGCAAACCAGATGCCTGTGGGATCCCAGCACAAGAGAACTCTCCCTCCTGCAGTTTCCAACAACTGGTCCTGTATTCAGAAGCATTACTGCCTACCCAGCGTGACCACATAGCCAACTGGGGGGATGCGGATGGTACTGTGGTCTAAACCACTGGGCCAGGAAAGCTGTCTGTGGACAAACGGCGGCTCCCTTGGCCTGAAAGCAAGATGAGCACCGCACCCCATAGTTACCTTTGACTGGACTTAACCATCCAGGGGTCTTTTACCTTTTCTCTTTTTTTTACACTTCAGCAGACAGAAAAAGTCTCTGTACAATTTTACATTTATATATAAACAGAGAGAGAGATCTGGCAGTGACTTTCCAGGGTTTCAGAGAGTGGAAATTCGCAGCCCTACCTGGAGGCACTAGGGACACGGGTGGCACTGTGGTCTAAACCACAGAGCCTAGGACTTGCTGATCAGAAGGTCGGTGGTTCGAATCCCCGTGACGGGGTAAGCTCCCGTTGCTCTGTCCCTGCTCCTGCCAACCTAGCAGTTCGACAGCACATCAAAGTGCAAGTAGATAAATAGGTACCACTCCGGCGGGAAGGTAAACAGCTTTTCTGTGTGCTGCTCTGGATCGCCAGAAGCAGCTTAGTCATGCTGGCCACATGACCCGGAAGCTGTACACCGTCTCCCTTGGCCAATAAAGTGAGATGAGCGCCGCAACCCCAGAGTCATCCGCGACTGGACCTAACGGTCAGGGGTCCCTTTACCTTTACCTGGAGGCACTAGGGATTACCTGAGACCTTCTGCCAGCAGGGCAGGTGCTTTGCGTGGACAAGCGGAGTCCCCAGATCCCGAGCGGTCCCCCCCCCCGTCATGTGGAATAACGACTCAAGACAACATGCTATGGGATTAAATTGGCCACAACTTTATTAAATTTCAAATGTGGGTAGACCTTGGCTCAGGCATTGAGCGTTCTCCCTCCCCAGTCCCCAGCTGGGGACCTAGGGAGCTTCAGGGTTATCCAGTGTGTGTGGGGGGGGATGGGCCGGCTCTGGAGAACATATGTTCAAGCAGAGATAGCCGCCCCCGCAGGGGAGAGCAATGACGACCTTTCGGCGTACGGTCAAAGCCTCCCTTCAGAAACCCCTTTAACGGGGAACCCTGGTATCGCCGCCGCAAAGAGGAAGATGGACTAAAGGATTCTGCCCAAGGCCTGATACCGCCAAAGTTGTGACGTTTTGCTACGGGAAAGGCGAAACCTGCCAATGCAGGGAAATTCCTTTCCGGCCCTTTAACAGCGACCTTATCGTAGCAGCGCCCGCATACCTGTGAAGAAAAGTTAACCTGCAAAACCTATGAAGAAAAGTTAACCTGCAAAATAAGACATTAACTGAGGGTGGGTAGGGTGGGAGAAGCTCTGGAGCCAAGTGAGGATTCCCAGGTAAGATCCTCCCTCTATTGTGTGGGCAGGTAATCCCTCCCCTACCTGGCCTGGTCTCCTTGGCAACACTTCCCCCAGGTGGGATTGGACAACTGACTGAGGTAGGCGGGGACCTCCAGGTATCCCACCTGAGGGGAGGCAAAGCCAAGCCTATGCTGATGGAGCCGCTCCAGATCCAGGGCTGCGCGCGTCCACGCAAAGGGCGCCCCCTGTTTTAAGCGGGGAGCGGTCATTGCTACTCAGCTATCGCAGAGGATGGCAGAGGGAGTCTGGTTGCTACCCCCAGGAGCACAAGTAGATGAAAAACATGAGTAAACAGGAGGCTCCCCCAACACATTGCCACCAAAATTTCTTTCAGCCGTTGTGTCATATCCAGTGAGAAGTTATGAAACAGTTCCCCACATTTCAGCATTTTCAACAGACATTAGGTCTGTCTCCATTTTCCACATCGGTTTTGAATTTGGTGGCGGTGCCTGTTTGAAATGTATCTCCATTGCAATCTTCAAGCGGTTTTATTGGGACGGGAACAAGCAGCTCTGTTAACGCCTGCCTTGCAATGCTGCAAGCTGTTTCCCTGTTACTATATATAAATGTTGAAGACGCACGGGAAGTTTCCACTTCAGTTGGAAAGGGCGGGCAGCACGGGAGGTGTTGCAAAATGGGGAAGCTGTAGCTCAGGGACAAAACAGCTACTCTACAGGCTGAAGAGCCCAACTTCAATCCCCAACATTTCCCACGTAGGACTTGGAAGGACTCCTGTTTGAAATCCTGGAGGAGGGATAAAACAGGTTTGGAAGACCGGTTGTCAGTTTTCACCCCTGAAGCGTCGCTGTCCATCAAACTAAAAGGTAAAAGGTTAAAGGTAAAGGACCCCTGGATGGTTAAGTCCAGTCAACAGCCGTTTACCTTCCCGCTGCAGTGGTACCTATTTATCTACTTGCACTGGCATGCTTTCGAAATGCTAGGTTGGCAGGAGCTGGGACAGAGCAACAGGAGCTCACCCCATCATGGGGATTTGAACCACCGACCTTCCAATCGGCAAGCCCAAGAGGCTCAGTGATTTAGAGTGTACACATAGTCTCTGCCGTCGCAAGGTTTTAGTGTGGATGCAAACCTTACAACATAATTATATATATAATTTTAAAGGTTGCAGACATTTTTCCCATAAACCTATATGTAATATAAATAGCAGGATAATAAACACGTTGTTTATTTAAAAAAGTTAAGCATTATAAACACTGCTTCAAAATCTTTAATGAATGAACATTCAATGTAATAAATAATATTTACAGGCTGGTATTCAACTAGCGTAGGCTCACTGAGATAAATCGACTTCTGAGCAATACTTTGTAAAACTCATTTTCAGGGGCTGCCTCAAAACTGCCAAGATCTGACAACAATCCATGCTCTAAAATCTTGCAGACAATATAGGCACAAACACAGATATTGTGTATATGCATGTCTGTTGACTGGCAGCACTGAAAATCAGGTTGGCCATGCCTAAACCACCTGGGCACTTGCTATTTTTTGTACTTACGGTTTAAAAAGTCATTTTTATTGCCGTCTCTGAAAAACTGACCCATCAGATAACATGGTGCTAGGGGCAATATGGACCCATCTCTTTGGGAGTTCTTTGTGATTTATAAGTCCAAAGAATTTCTTGGTTCGCACATTCCTACTAAATATGATTTGATCTGGCAATGTTTATGAATATATATTGTGCATAAATATGAACTTCATATTCCACCATGGAATGTATTTTGTGCCAATCATTCTTTTCCTACCTCTTTTTCTAAAATATTGTATTTATATTCTCCTTGCTTTAATGGCTGTTTTTCTACTGTCATTTGGTTTGTTGTTTCATTTATTGTATTTGCAAAAAATTCAGCCAAGAGATTTGCTTTGTTCATCCTGGCCTCAGCAGCCAAGCAGCTCATCAATCATCGTTGCTTGGAGCACGATACGGAAACCCTGTCCTCTTCTTTGCCTTTGCCTTCTTTGCCATCTGCTCCACAAAGATCTGCAGAAATCTAAAAGAGCAGTCAGCAGCGTACAATGGAAATTTTAAGCCAAATTCCACAGAGACTTAACAGTGCTGTCCTAGGCATATCCACTCAGAAATAAGTCCTATTGAATTCAAGAGAGCTCACTCTTGGGAAAGTGTGTTTAGGATTTGCCATCTCAACATCACATGTTAGCCAAGCCAGTTTTATTTCTGCATTTGAGATGCCCAGTGATATAGTCATCCTGTTTAATCCTCTCCCTAGAAGGGCTCCCCAGAGTTCCCTGGGAAGATAGGTTAATTGTTAAACCACTCTGGGAACTGTAGCGGGATGATACCGCTTTAGATGCCTAGTGCAGATGGGGCCTGGTTATTTTGCAGTCAACGCAAGAAGAAACAGCCATCCACCTCTCAAGGAAACAGCAAGCAATTTTAGGAATATGCAGGAATGTTTTATTTATATTAAAACAAACATTTAGGGGAAACTTCTTACACAGCAGTGTTGAAAAACCAATTATGAACAAGACATGTGCAGCGTAGATTCTTGCTAGCTAAATGGCCTTTGGTCCTCTTCCATCTGACATCTACAAAGCTTGATAAAATGGTCACTGATTGCATTACCTGGGCAGTCTGGCCATTCTTTTGTGATGGTTCATACTTCAGGTCACCTTAAAAGTAAAGGGATCCCTGACCATTAGGTCTAGTCGTGACCGACTCCGGGGTTGCGGCGCTCATCTCACTTTATTGGCCGAGGGAGTTGGCTTACAGCTTCTGGGTCATGTGGCCAGCATGACTAAGCCGCTTCTGGCGAACCAGAGCAGCCCACAGAAATGCCATTTACCTTCCCGCCTCAGCGGTACCTATTTATCTACTTGCACTTTGACGTGCTTCTGAACTGCTAGGTCAGCAGGAGCAGGGACCGAGCAATGGGAGCTCACCCCGTTGCGGGGATTCGAACCGCCGACCTTCTGATCGGCAAGTCCTAGGCTCTGTTGTTTAACCCACAGCGCCACCCGTGTCCCTAGGCTCACCTTATTCATACACAAATATGCTCTTAAGACAAGATTTGTAAGCGAAAAGACAATGGGAAGCCTTTCCCCATTTGCCTCCCTTACTTCAGAGGAATATTTGAGCTCATTGGGAGAGTCAAAATGGCTTCAGTATTGCTCTCATGTACTATTTCAAACACACGGTTTATATATATTCAGATATGTGTACATTTATGAATATTTATTCTATATTTGAGTCCTTAAAATTCTTACAACACAGGGAAGCAGAGCCTTCTCAGTGGCATCCCCATGGGGACTCTGCAAAGAAATCTGTACGGCATTGTGTCTATTGATTTTAAAGAAAACCCTGTAAACTTTTATTATGATTATGATAATCATTCCAGTCTGTGTTCAGTTAAGGTACTGTGCAGCAAGGACGGTTAGCTGCCACAGGAATCAGCTTAATGGAATGGCTTGTGGCCAAGGCAGCGCTAAGCAACTTGTTCCACAAGCACAAAGATTTATGCTTGCACAATGAAACTTTCCTCCTCCTGCCATGTGTCCCCTAAATCTGTTACGAAGGTTGCCCCAATCCTCGGGAGCAGATCTGGGGAGGGAGCACGAACTGGGGAATTCTGTTGCAAAAATGTAAATTCTTGCATGAACCCAGTGATTCAAATTAGTGGGATATTGCTTCTTGATGTTTGCAAAGTGCCTTGTGTCCTGAAAGGTGCGTCAGAAATCTTTTAAATTGGGGGCAGGTAGCTGGGGAAACTTCTGTCAATTTTTGTACTCCAAGTCCCAGCAGCCCCAGCCAACATGTCCAGAGCAGCAGCAGAGCAAGGGGCGGGGCCAGTTGTCCATGGGGGTGGGGCCAGCTGCCCATGGGGCAGGACACTCTGCGGGGCCTCTGAGGAGTGTGCTGGTCCCGTGGGGTAACCGTGAGGCGAGGTCCGAGTCCAGTCTTAGGTCGAGGGTGCAGTAGGGAGGCAGTCTGTCAAAGCTGAAGCTGGGTCCAAGGCAGGGAGTTGGGTGAGGTCAGGAGCTCCAGCAGAGAAGCAGGACAGGGTGCAGGCAGGAACAGGCTACCAACAATGTTGCTCCCACAACCTGGGACTGGTGCTAGCTGGCTTTTATCTGCCCCAAGGCACAGGGCGGCCTTGGTCCACAGGTGACTCGCCTCTCCTGGTCTGGAGGTGTGCACTCCTCCTGCGGGAACTTACTTCCCTCCGCCTCTCTGCCCTGAGCCTCTGCAGCTCAGGAGAGGCTGGAGGGTTACCGCACCCAGAGGCAACTTCAGCCTCCCCTGACGGGGCTGAGAGTGGAGCACCTGCAGGCAATGGGTCCTCCATCCCCTCAGGAGCCAGAGCGGACTCAGCTGATGCCTGCACCTGAGGAACCAGCACAGGTGAGGACCCTTTGGGCTCAAGCCCCAGCCCTGGCTCAGCTGGTTCTGAAGGCAGGGACTCCTGTGCAGGCTGGGATCCCTCAGGTTCGGCTTCTGAGTCCGAATCCCAGGCCATCACACTGGCGCCCAAGCCACCACATCATTCTCAGCAGAGACACGTGGCTCAGGTGTGTGGGCCCCGCGGTGCGCAGGTACGCAGGCCCCGTGATGAGTGCCACTCGACATTTTGTCACCCCCCTCAGTGGTGACACCCGGGGCAAACCGCCCCATCGCACCCCCTTCCTTCGCCCCTGGTCCAGAGGTCAAGGAGACTGAGCTTTGGAGTCCCACAGCACCTGGAAGCCTGAAGTTCCCTTATCCCTGCTTTAAAGAAATCATAAGAGTGTATTTCCGTTCTTCCCCAGACAGTGGTGAGAAATGGCAATTTTGGAAATGGAGATTGGCGAGTGATTTGTCTGGTCTTCAGCTCTCCCTTAAGCGCTCTGCAGCACAGTGCTGCTGACTCATGGATTTTTGTATAATCTCTGCCTTGCCAAGTGATGCCTGACGATTGCCTGGCAGTTGAAAGGAGAACATCTGGGGATGTCCATGTGCGATGCTCCGCACTGGCGTGCCACATGGGATTGAATGCTGAAAATAGGTCACTGCGCCATTGGAGGAGGCAGAAGGAAACAGTGGGTTGATTTATTATACATGAGCGGGCATAAACACTGAAGGAAAATGGGCTCCGTCCTGTTGTAGGCAATGTGTTTCAGTGGGTTACGGACAAGATAACATGTGATTCAGGACAGGAGAGACTCACCGGTGTCTACAATGCAAACCAAACAGCAAGCGTGGTGTAGTGGACCAGGGAGACCACGGTTCAAATCCTGACTCAGCCATGAGGTTCACTGGGTGACCTTGGCCATTCACTCAGCTTAATCTACTTTACAGGGCTCTTGGGGGGATTAAACGAAGAGGGGGAGAATCATGTAAGCCACCTTGAGCTACAAGAAGAGGCTGGGAATTGAACCTGCGACCTTCTGATTCCTTAGCCCTAATCAAAGTGAACTGACTTCATTTGTACCTCCGACTAAGGGATCATCCACACTTTATCTTTTGCCCTGCATTTCTAGGCAAAGGTCCACCACTTTAAAACTCAAGCTCAGAGCACTCTTTGTTTTCAATGCCCCAGTGCTTTCCCTGCAAGAACCCACTCTTTAACCCACTCTTTAAGGTCTTAAATAGAGAATAAATGTTGATGATTGCACAAGGTAAACACACATATACCACATGTCTAAAATAGTACAAGGCAGCAATCCAAAAGCCATCTTGGCTCCCCTAAAGACTCAACATTTCCTCTGCCTCCTTAATCTCCCTTGTCTGAGAACAGGTAAGCAGTGAGCAATCAGGGGAAGTTCCTGAAGGCATTCCTCTCTATATCTATGAAGCTCCTTTGTATATTAATTCTCACTGTTCGCCCAGATGCTCTGCATTGAGGGATGTCTGACAGGTCTTATCAAATGCTAATGTTTTGTGTAAACTGTGTCTGGAACTATGTAAAACTTGCTAAATCCTCAGGAATATCACACCTTGGCTTACCAGAACCACAGTAACCCCACTTTAGGTGTGATGCAATTTCTTCTCTACGCCAAAATGAAAACCCTTAAAATAGATGTTTCTTCTTGGTTCTGGGTCTCTCCTGCCTCCTTGCTAGGAGGGTAGGGAACTCCGTTGCAACAGAAAAATAAAGATCCGCCTTGCTTTCACTGCTTCCTGCCTCCATCCACCCATCTCTGACTGATCCTGGACTTAGGGGACTCAGTCCCTTGGGGAGCTGGGCAGCAAAAGCCAACTACAGCGGTACTTCGGGTTACATTACCTTTGGGTAATGTAATTTCGAGTTACGAATGTGGCAAACCTGGAAGTGTATACTTCCGGGTTTCGTTGTGCGTGCATGCGCAGAAGTGCTCTATCGCGCTGCGTGTGTGCGCAGAAGCGGTGCCTCCGGATACAGACTTTTCAGGGTAAGTACGGACCCCTGGAATGAATTAAGTTCGTATCCCAAGGGTCCACTGTACCCCTGTTTTTCTATATTAACACTGAATCACAACAAATGGCAATCCAGGTTTTCTGTGTACTGGTGAGCTACGGAGCTTCAGTGCATCATTTGCACTGATTGAATGTTAAAGAAAGGGGTTTATGGGGAAAGCGCTGGGGCAAAACGAGCAAGCACTTGCAACACAACACTTTAAAGTGTGGACCTGTGCTTAGAAACACAGCACAAGAGAAAGTCTTTCCAATGAGCCCTGGGTCTTAACACAGATCCGAACGTAGTTATCCTTTAGATTCTGCATTTCTCTGAATTTCATATTACAGCTCTTGGCTCAAAAAGCATACCAAAATGCATTTTAACATGTATTCTGTAATCAAATATGTTTAGACATGTTTACGTTGAGATAAAATGCATGTTTATGTTTGTGAAAAGAAGGCATTTAAGCAGGTATTTAAAGATGCATTTTTGTACAGGGACTGATGCAAAAACAGAACAGGATGGAACTACGAATGATCCGTACAATAGCCATAAGGAGGGATGCCCACTGCAGCAGCTCCTGCCAAAATGAAGCAAGCAGCCTCCTCCAAGAAATGAGTCATTCTTCTGCATTTCCGGGTCTGGTGTGATTGGATCACTCCATCAGCTCTGACACAGCAGACTGACTGTGTGCTACAGATTTTAAATAAAGCCCCAGTTGGGGTTGTGTGAATCAGGTCTCATTAAAAAGCTCTCAAAGCAGTAAACACTCCACCCTTCCTTGTGATATATACCTCCTGCTAACCACAATGCCCAGGTTGGTTGGTTGCAAGGAAGAGGGTCCTTTAAGTATTTGGGTTCCAAGGAATTGATGGCTTTAGATATTAATAGTCATTTAGGGCTTTGGATGCCACATTGAATTGGGACTCTGTAGCTCACCAGCAGCTGGTACAGTGCTCTCAGAATTGGGATAATATGCTGCTGCTGCTGCTGCCAACAAATGAGCAGCTATGTTAGGGGAAGTAATGGTATCATTCGATTCTCTCTTGGTCTGACCCCACCTGGAGACTTGTGTCCAGTTCCGGGTACTCAAATGGAAGGATATTGACAAGTTGGAACATGTGCAGAGGAGGGTGACCAAGATGGTAAAGGATCTGGAAACCAAACCTTATGAGGAATGGTTGAAGGAGTTGGGTATGCTTAGCCTGGAGAAGAGAAGACTGGGAGGCCATCTTCAAATATTTCAAGGAAGAAGGAGCAAGCTTGTTTCCTCTTGCTCCAGAAGGAAGTACTTGAACCAATGGCTTCAAATCACAGTGGTACCTCGGGTTAAGAACTTAATTCATTCTGGAGGTCCGTTCTTAACCTGAAACTGTTCTTAACCTGAGGTACCACTTTAGCTAATGGGGCCTCCTAGCGCCGTGCCGCCACCGCCGCACGATTTCTGTTCTCATCCTGAAGCAAAGTTCTTAACCTGAGGTACTATTTCTGGGTTAGCAGAGTCTGTAACCTGAAGCGTCTGTAACCCGAGGTACCACTGTACAAGAAAGGAGATTCTGACTAAACATCAGGAAGAGCTTTATGACAGTAAGAGCTGTTTGACAGTGGAACAGTCTCCCTCAAAAGGTTGTGGACTCTCCTTCCTTGGAGGTTTTTAAGCATCTCAACTAAAGTATGAATGTTTTAGTTAAGATTCCTGCATTGCAGGGGGTTGGACTAGATGATGCTCTTGGTCCCTTCCAACTTTACAATTCTATGACTATGACTCACAGGCAGGCAGCTGTAGGTTTGCACCTTACATTCTGTAGGTGAACTCTGCTAAGAAGGGTTTTTCTTACATCTGCCTTAAAATCTTCAGCTTGTCACTAACATGGTATTCAACCAGGTAAACCACTCTTAATGATGTGAGTGGAAGACGCAGGCATTGCGCAATAATGTCAGATAGCAGCAGCGGCGGAGCGAGCCGCTAGGATGCTGGGTGCGGCGCACACGTCCTGCAGCCAGGGGTGGGGCAAGCCATGATAGGATCATCCTACTCACGTATAGGACCCTGGCAGAGACTCATGCCCGACTGGCATGTTCTCTCCCTCCTGGTCGATCGTTCGGGAGCTTCAAAAGCTTTCTCCAGCCCGAACATCACAGCGACTGATGTTCCTAAGTGCAGAGTATAAGGAACCTGCAGAGTATTTGCAGTTTGCATAACAGAACCCAGTAGCACAGCATTTTGGCTAATCTGCTTTATTTACATATAATACACTTGGAGCATTCTGCCTTAGCTCCTTCCTCGTTCTCATCAGACAGCAAAGAGAGAAAAACAAAGGACAATAATCCCACATCACAGAACACAGTAACATAAACATCCTGTCTCCGTCACTTCCCACACTGTGGAATGAAAACATACACTGTCATGTGACAGACAACAATCTCATGACTGCAAACATGGAGCAGGAATCCTAAGAAGCCGCCCATGGGGCAGGGCACACTGCATGGAGCCTCTCCGCCACCTCCCCCTCAGCTGTAGGGCGGCTGAGGGAGAGGCAGAGGGCAGACGCAAGTCCCAGGCTGCCGTTTCAGGCAGCGCGGAACCTGCAGGCACCCAAGCCACCATGTCACTCCCAGGAGAGACGTGTGGCTCAGGCCCATTGCAGGCCCCACAGTAAGTGCCGGCCCCCATGGTGTGGCGCCCAGTGCCCGCCGCGTTTCGTTTGTTGACTGAACTAAAAAGTTTCGTGAGCCCAATACAGTGGTAAAGGTAAAGGTACCCCTGCCCTTACGGGCCAGTCGTGACCGACTCTGGGGTTGCGTGCTCATCTCGCTTAAGAGGCCAGGAGCCAGCGCTGTCCGAAGACACTTCCGGGTCACGTGGCCAGCGTGACGAAGCTGCTCTGGCGAGCCAGCACCAGCGCAGCGCATGGAAACGCCGTTACCTTCCCGCTATAAAGCGGTACCTATTTATCTACTTGCACTTAGGGGTGTTTTCGAACTGCTAGGGGGGCAGCAGCTGGGACCGAACGACGGGAGCTCACCCCGCCGCGGGGATTTGAACCGCCGACCATACGATCGGCAAGTCCTAGGCACTGAGGTTTTACCCACAGCGCCACCCGCGTCCCTAATACAGTGGTACCTCGGGTTAAGAACTTAATTTGTTCTGGAGGTCCGTTCTTAACCTGAAACTGTTCTTAACCTGAGGTACCACTTTAGCTAATGGGGCCTAACCTGAAACTGTTCTTAACCTGAGGTACCACTTTAGCTAATGCTGCCATGCCGCTGCTGCACGATTTCTGTTCTCATCCTGAAGCAAAGTTCTTAACCCGAGGTACTATTTCTGGGTTAGTGGAGTCTGTAACCTGAAGCGCCTGTAACCTGAAGCGTCTGTAACCTGAAGCGTCTGTAACCCAAGGTACCACTGTATTTTTTAAACTCATATTTTTGTCATTTTGTCACCCCCCCCCAGTGATGACCCCCCCTGCACCCCCCTTCCTCAGACACTGGATAGCAGAGATGTTGGTTCCTGTAGCATCCTATGCAGTTTGTAAATGTGGCTGGAGTCGCTGTATTTCATGCTAATTGCTAGCAAAACTGGCCTCCCCCAAAGGCTGAAAATTTGGCTTTCCCAAGCTGCAGATGTACCAGAGCTCTCTGTAAATATCTCTTTTTGGAAAGCTTACTCAGATGGCAGCTTCTGCTTTGCGTGCCTGCCTGCATCTCTCCACAGTTAAGCAATCATTTAAGCAATCTGTAATAGGATGTGAAAGCAGCCTCTTTCAGTAGACGCTTTGAGTGCATTCCAAGTTTAAGATGTCAGAGGTCAGACAGCCACATGTTCACTGCAGCTTCCAAATATGCAGAGCTCACATCCCACAGTGGCTAAGAGGCTGAGCTGTGACTGGGGTTCAGCTCTCACCCTTTGGCATGGACTGACAAGGAGGCACGGGAGCTATTTGCCTCCCCTCCAACATTTCTCCGATGAAAATAGGGATGTCCTAAGGAAAACCAGGAGATTCTGGGTTTTTTAAAAAAGTTTTTATTTATTCTTTTCAAATTTATACATTTCATTAATTTTTACAATCATTTTCACATTTCAAAGTTAGACCTCCTTTCCCCTCTTTCTGCGGTTCCTTAAATTCATTTTTTTCATATCTTCTGCATATCCAAATTCATTTAATTTGCTCATTTAGTTATCTACTGTTATGAAACTGCAGGTTATTACAATAACCCTGCCAATGTTTTCATCTGTTTGCAATTTATCTGTAAATATTCGATAAACCATTTCCATTCTTCTTATAAAAAGTTTGTTATCTTGATTCCTTATTGTGAACATCCTTTTTAATTCATTATATATCATTTCCCGGTAAGCTTTAACCTTACTACAAGACCACCACATATGATAAAAAGAACCTTCTTTCTCTTTACATTTCTAACATTTGTTTGATTTAGATTTATACATTTTTGCCAGTTTACTCGGTGTCAGATACCAAAGATATATAATTTTCATATAATTTTCCCTTAAACCATAACATGCTGTAAACTTATATCCATATTCCACAATCGTTCCCATGCTTCCATGTCTATATTATGACTGATATCTATTGCCCAGTGTATCACTGAGGATTTTACTTGCTCATCCTTTGTCTCCCATTCCAATAATATTTTAGACATTTTAGACAACACTTTTATATTACATTCCAACAGGTCTCATTCAAACAGGCGTTTGTCCGCAGACAGCTTTCCGGGTCATGTGGCCAGCAGGACTAAACCGCTTCTGGCACAATGGGACACCGTGCCGGAAACCAGAGTGCATGGAAACGCCATTTACCTTCCCCCCAGAGTGGTACCTATTTATCTACTTGCACTGGCATGCATTCAAACTGCTAGGCTAGCAGGAGCTGGGAAAGAGCAACGGGAGCTCACCCCGTCACGGGGATTCGAACTGCCACTCTTCTGATCAGCAAGCCCTTGAGGCTCAGTGGTTTAGACCACAGCGCCACCCTCTGATCATGCATCGACACTCCACCACCAAATCCATGGCTTTTGGCCTTCTTCCCTTGGGGGTTCCCTCAGTGGTTCCCCAACTGCTGCCTCCTGCCCCTTCGCTGCATCCACCCGTCCATGCCAATGCTTTAGCTTGTATGCTCTAAAAATCTCTCAGTGAGAAGCATTCTCTAAAAGAGTATTCTTCATGTTTTAAAAGGCAAGCTGTTTTCACTCTCTCATGGATGAACAGTGACATCCAGTGGCTGTACTGATATATTTTCAGAAAACAAACTTTGCTGAAAGACAACCGTTCCCCTGTGCATTTCTCACATGCAGGACTTTCATGTGGGAAAGGGCAGGGGGACCCTGTTGCTGGCATCTGCCCCCCCACCCTCAAGGGGATCCTTCTTAGAGCCTAGTTACTCCACTGCAACAGATCCCCTTTTCAAAAAATTGACTTTTTGCTGTTGGAAAGGTAAGGCAACATGGTAGAAGTTTATAAAATGTTGTATGGCTTGGAGAAAGTGGATAGAGAGCAGTTTTTCTCTTGTTAACAGAGAAATCTGAGGGCTCCCTTGGACGAAAAAACAAGGACAACAGCCAGGAATACCAGAGCAAAGCAGCAGCCAGTAGGCTTGGTCTCTATTGAAGAGTGTCACGACAGGACTCCCACCTGCCACCAGGTGAAACAAGATGGAAGCCCAGAACAAAAAAAGACCCCAACTTTTACTAGTTACTAATTCCCCAAACTACACCACATCACAAAACTACATCACAACTACATCATTGATAC